ACTCATTTCTGGTAGACGCAACCAAATCCATACCATCGCTGTATACTTCAATTTTCTATCTTGATTGAATTTCAAACATTTATCTCTATTTTATTAAAATTAAAATTTAAATTAATTTAAATTTAAATTTATTTAATTTATACAAAAATACAAACATCAAAATTGACAACAAATAAAAATTTCTCAAATTTTCCTTAGTAACAACGATACAATCAGACGTCTTGGTAATTATTGAGAAATATGTTTGTAGATTTAATGAAGGAGTTGCATGACAAAAGTAGAAAGCACCTGACTTCATCAGAGAGAGAATTGAAGAGTTAACTAAAGTGAATAAAGGGGAAAACCTGTAAGCATTGGCACAAGCTAACTTTTGAATTAACTTAAATGTCAGTGAGATTAAGGGAATTATATCATACATTCTTTGTTTTCTTATTGCTTAATCTAAAATTATTGAGAGATAATGCTGCTTTTTTGCTGTTGATGCTGCTGGTTGTCTTCGTGTAATAATACAATATTGCTAAATGTAACTTATTCGTCAATATTTTAATCAAAAATTGTAAGTTTTATTATACCTATTTTGTGGACTTTCTGGCGTAAAACAAAATCCTCCGGGATAGACAAAATAATATTAGTACATTACTTTATTAATCTGAATCTGTCATCGTCTGATTTGAACAGGTTGCTTAAGATAATACAAAGAGGAGGGTCTGATAGTCTAGCCACGTTGTATATCAATGATTCCTCAACATTATGACGTCAGACACATTAAAACATGAAACAGATTCAGATTATACTGGCGCTTAGATTCACCACAACCAGTGGCACGGGAATATGATCCTTCTTCATTATTATTCCTTCTTCGAATAAAAATTTAGCCCCGAAAATGTTGACACCTTTTGTGATTGATGAAACTTAACTAACGCCGGATACTGTGGTTTGTTGGGATGTCCATTTTAGTTGAGCAATTTCCAGCGATATTTCACCAGTAATTAAGTAAAAACAGATGTTTAATAATATTAAAATATTTACGTCACGATGATTGATTTGAATTTAAATGTGATTAGATCATCTGAGTGAAAAATGCGGCCTAATATTAAATATTTACTAGCCCTTTTTTTCTTACAAGAAACTATCCCAACCCTAGGACCTTCTTCATGAAATCAATAGAATATTCAATAATCATAATTTATGACCATACTGTGTTATGTTCGTTAACTAGCAGTTGGATTCTTTTTACAGTAGCCTATATTATAACATGATATGGTTTTATTAGGCATGCATTTCATTATATATTATTTTTCATTTGATTAACTTAAATAAAAATAGACGCCTTACGATAATGAGGAAATATAAGTAAGCCTATAATTCATTATAGCAAATTAAACCATTAATAGGCCTAATTAGAGAACTTTGTAAATCATGGTTCGAAAAATAATAATTAAGTATCCAAAACAAGTAAATGATAAACTGCGATGACAAGTATTAGTCATAATTGCATGCGTACCTTAATTATTAGACGGAGTATGTGACAGTGACATCGTTTCAAGTAAACTATATTATATTATTTTTACTAGTAAGCAGACTTCCTTTTTGTAACTGAATTTGGCAAAGAATTCCAGGGCCCAGGGTCAAAGTAAAAAGGTATTTCTGTTTTTACTGCAAGTCTAGCTGATATTAGTGATAGACTATATGTATGCCGAGTAAGTAATTGTTTGTTATTTTTACAGAAAGTGACATTTTCTAATTGAAATACAAAAGCCACGCCATTTCATACTCTTTTATTAAGTCTACATTAGTTTAATATGAATATGTTTTTTTTCCTTGTATTGTTGCATTTTGAATATTAATTAGTATTATTACTTATTAGTTTTAGTTGCTTTATTTTGTTAACCATTTTTCTAATTTTATTTGCTACTGTGTATTTATTTACTTCATATCTTATATTTGTTACACTACAATGCGTGAAAATGTACCGTAATGTATGGAAGGGAGTTGGGAGGGGTGGGTAGATAGGGGTATAATTGAATTAAGTCAATATTATTATAATACAAATTTATTATGTTGTATTGTTTTTCTTTTTTTTTTGAATATTAATTGTATAATCAGTTTATATTATAATATTAGAACTTTTTTACAATCGTCTTACTACAATGCAATGGAACATCATTCTAATGTATAATAATATAATAATGTATAATAGAAGGGGTGTGGTGGTATGGAGTAGATGGGAGCACTACTGATTCAAGTATGAATTGTATACCTTGTTTAACTGCATCTATGCATTTTTGAATTTTTATTTGTATGAAACTGTTTGTTTTATTTTGGCCTGTGGGGGTCAAATTTGAAAAAAGGGGTTAGTTCATTAAGTATGGAGGGATATATTTATGTATGTGTACACAAATGTATTTTTATATTATTTATTGCTTTATTGTTTGTTTTTTTTTTTTTTTCATTTTAAGTTCACTACCCAATTTTTCATTTTTATTTTAGTTATTTTTAAGTTTGTATCAATTATATTTTATAAGGATGCCTATTAAGTGTACAGTAATTAAGTGACTTATTTTATTGCATTTAAATTGAACGCACACCTTTGAGTGCCGCCGATCTAAAGGCGTATGTTCACAAAGTAAATAAAATAAATATTCGAAGATTGGCGTACGTAAAACATACACTGCTTTAACAAACTCATTATAGATGTTATAAGACGGGTAGGTCACGTGTCTTCTTAACGGAGAAAATATGAAATCCTACAGCAACCAACTATTTATAACTACTTTAAAACATTGGTATAAGCTACTATCTCTATGAACTCTCTGGAATGTTTCCTTTGTAAAAAATGCCATCTGTACACCATAAAATGGGGTGACTTAAGTAAGTAAAGCTAGTAAGCATCGGTAATTATAAGTTCAAAGTAGCATTCTGTAAAGACGTTGTTGTTGCAAAACGGAAGTCAACTGTACAGTACTAATATGATACACATGTATTGTATTATTAGGTGCATGCACAATAATCCCTTTTCACAAATATTGTGTTGTAATTTATGATATTAGTATTAATATGAAAATGTCTATTTATGGATGTAATTGAATCTTAAGGGTTAAGGTGCTCGCTTCACAAACACAGAGTTCTGGGTTTCATTCCCGCAAAATAACCGACCTCCTGTAGGCGCAAGAGAAGCACGCGACCGCGGTACAAAATAAGGCTATTATTCAGTACGATATTATG